ACTAATGGAAATAAGGTTGAAAGGAGAATGAGGAACATAAAGCACATTCTCAATGAGAATAGAAGGAAAAAGGAGAACAATGCCAATCCCTTGGGACTGAACCAGTGACCCATTAGCCATAGTGATACTGGGCAAGGGACCAGACGTACAGAGAGAGGTAAATAAAGATTTATTACCAGAAATATGGTCAGATGCACCAGAATCGAGAATCCATGGACCAAGAGAGGGCGAGTGCGAAACACCAGCAAAGGAATTACCCGTGTGTGCACTAGAGGCAGTGGTACCAGGAGGTGGCTGTGATCCAGCAATCAAGGCAGAGTCCGAGGCAAGAACAGTAGTCTGAGCAAAATGAGCGAAGCGAGGAGGGCGACCATGAAGATCCCAACAACGATCAATAGTATGGCCCGACTTTTTGCAATGAGTGCAGAGAAAGCGTCTCGTAGAGGGTTTGCGTCCACGTGCAAAACCCTTGGAGACAAGGGCAGATGGGTCAATTGAAGAGGGAGCAGATACTGCAGGCTCCATAGAAGTCTTAGGTGGAATGCGAAGCAACGTAGACCAAACAGAGTCAAGCGATGGAACAGTAGTAGAGCCCAAGATCTGATCCCGGTTGACAGAATATGCCGGGGGCAAACCATAAAGAGCCATGAGCATGAAGAACGTGCTGCGTTGCTCAAGTTCTTTAGCAGGATCTGCAGCAGGCGGCAACAGTTCATTGAAATCATGAATGAGGCCCTGAACTTTTCCCAAGTAAGTAAAACAACTACTGAAGGAACTCAAGTTTGGAGACACTGGCTCAGCATCTCTTATTTGTGATAATCAAGCTGCTTTGCATATTGCTTCAGATCCAGTGTTTCATGAAATGACTAAGCACATTGAGATAGATTGTCATTTCCTTGGAGAAAAGGTTCTCTCAGGAGATATAGTCACTCGTTTTGTCAACTCAAATGATCAATTAGCCGATGTATTCACTAAGTCTTTGAGAGGACCTAGGATAGATCAGATATGTAACAAGTTTGATGCATACGATCTATATGCTCCAGCTTGAGGGGGAGTGTTGTTGTAAATAGTGTCATAGAAGTCCCACATTGTGTATATGTCTTTGTATTTCTTATATGGTTTAATATATAAATGAAATCTCCTTCGTGTAGTTGACACAAGGATTACAGTCAATGCCTCTTGTATCGTGATATTTAACATATACCATCCACCAAAAGTTATTTATCCATGCAATATTGACCCTACTGCAATTTTGCAGTATGTTGTATTCTTTAAAATGGACCTTTTCTCACTGCTTACAGATCCTATAAGAGACGAGGCCCATGAAAACAACCAATTGCTAATCATAAAGGAAAACTTACGGAGTGATTTATACCTGGATGGTGGCCGTATTTCTCTGTTCTCCCCCAACTGGAGAAAATGTAGAACCATCTCCTTTCTCAATGGTAAACTCAACAGTCCCTCTCCCTGAAAGCCTAAAAAAAATTGCGAAGATATTGATTTTCCCCCATGTTCTAAGTGTTTAATTTTCCAAAGAATTGAGCTATGAATGATTAACTGTGCAATCATTTTTAAGTTAGTCTCATGTGAAATGGTCACAGTGTATGTTCAACATTTAAGGGGGGGAAATATCTGAAATGTCCATTACAAGGATCTATGTACTAGATCAAGATAATGACTGAGGTGACTTTCAGCACGAGTCACTAACCGTGGATATTGCATGTATTGCTTCGGCAACAGAAAAGATAATCCCGGTGCCTGTTGCAACAATATCAAGTTCAGATTGTGGACATGGTTGTAATATTGTTATTGCTTAAATTCAGTCATTTTATTGGAAAAAATGAAAGTAACTACTATTGATTTCAAGGTACTATCTTATTATCTGGTTTGCAGTTGCCTCTTACCTGTAATAACTCTACCTCTGCTACAGTATCCAGTGTAGATGCAAGGTTCATTGACACTTTATCTGCATCCTGCTCCTTTATAGATTGAAGGAGAGCTTGCAAACCCCCCTGCAAAATATTGGCATCATTCTGGTAGCTTCTACAATGAACCATAACTACCAATTTCACATAATGGATGAATTACATAACATTGTTGAATATTTCATCGTACAAAAAACAGAACATAATGAACTGAGATTGAGTAGAAATAAATAGCCAAATTCAACATTCTAGTATCTTCACCCCTTTTTCTTGCATCCAGCAACCTTTTGGACACGACCACATGGTATATTGTTATATTAGCTTCATAAGAGAAACATAAACAATATAAAAATGTACTTATTTTGCAACATAAAAACTATCATGTCAAGTATAAGTTACTTAAACAAAAATCATCGTAAACATGAATGACATATAAACACTCGTATATTCCAGAAGGTGTATTTTTTTCTAAAATACCTTCCCATCTATTAGAGTTGCATGTACCATAGTACCCCTTTCCTTCAGTTCCGCTGGTATACTAGCCAATATAGAATCCTTCTCATCAACCGCTATCTGAAGTAACGAAGACAATAACACCTAATAATTAGTAACTTTGCTTCTAAAAAATAAATAAAGGATATACTTATAATTTATTTTTGTTTACAACTTCTTACAATTACATTTTAACCGTTGATTTTTATCAATATGATGTTTATAATTTATTGAAAATTAATAATTAATTAATAAATATGACCCAATAAATTACAGGGAAAGGATATACTTACCACCAAAAAAAGTTTACAACATTTACAACTAACCTAATCACAATTGATTTCTCTTAATCTAACGATTATAATTTATTGAAAATTATTGAATCGCTTTTTTTAATAATTATTAATTTCCAATAAATTATAACTGTTAAATTGACGGAAATCAACGGTGATTAAATTGGTTGTAAAAGTGGTAAACTTTTTTGATAATAAGTATATCCTGCCACCTAAATTATAATTCAGAGATTTATAAAAATCAATTATTAAGATATGGATATAAAATATCGTAGAGAAAATAGAATGTAAATATAACCTTCCCTTAAAATAAATACAAGGATGAAAAAAAAAATTGAATACCTTCAAAGCTTTCTTCACATTCCCCTCCATTGTTCCATAAGGTTTCCTCTGCGGAATCCTCAACAGGTACGAAATATCTTCGAGAGTGTCCTAAAAGAGGCGCAAAAAAAAGTTCAAAGATAGCAAAAACGGCAACTGCAATTCAAAAACGACAATGATGGAGAGAAACCTGAATAGCCTTCATGTTAGCGTTTGCAGGAATGGCTTTCCTGAGAGCAACTTCACCTGTTCTGGGAACCTTAGTATCTGGCGAATACAGAACAGCCTTCGCAGCAGGAGACACATACGACAACGAATCCGAAAACGGTAACAAAAGTGTAATCTGAACTGAACAAACTATGATAGGAATCGCGCTTTTGAATAGCTGGTTCATTATCCTCTCACCAATCGTTGGTGCTGACGTGTCATGCTGGTATATGAGTTCCTGCATCATTAACACACATCACTTCAGAAATGCAGCATAACACAATGTTGACAATGGTTTAGTTAAATGTACACTGTGGTGTGACCTTCGTGATGTGGTTGTGGTGGTGGTGGTGGTGTTTCTTTGAGAAGCACGTGATTGGGGAAGTTGTTGAGTGCTGTGACGTGGCGCGATGGAAGGAAGGAATGGAAGAAAGGGTTGGGAAGAGAGTGGGAGATGAGTCGCGAGTGATGGAAACGTTGAAGGAGCAAGAAAGAGAGAACGCCATTGAAGCGAATGGGGGAGTTTGGTGTTTCCTGTGCCTAATCCGTTACGATTCTTGTGTGTGGAAGTGGAGGAACGAACACGCGTCCTATGTGGCTATTGATGTGTAATGACATCCATGCCCTCGGTTTAAAAAGGTGGAAAAAAGATATGAAAAAGGTCCCACCGAGATTTGAACTCGGGTTACTGGATTCAGAGTCCAATGTCCTGACCACTAGACCATGGGACCTATTTATTGAGCTTTGGAAACAATTATTTAATATGGTTACAATACTGTGATTTTTAAATTTAAATGCTCCCTATCCATCTCTCAATAATAATTACCTTTTTTAGAATTTACAAAAAAAAAAAATTACCGTTTTTAGAATATTATTTGAAACTTTGTTAATAAAACATATGGATACCACTTCTCTATTTTAAAATACATTCTCCGAAATATCCTTAATTTGATTATTTAAATAGTAGAATTAATTAAAGAATGTCATATATTAAGCTCCAAATTAAAATTCTCAATGTTCAATAAGCTGACTATTTCAAATGTTAACATCGGAAATTAATTAATATTAATTTAGAATAAGAAGCTATAAATAATTATACAAACAAAAAACTAAGCTATTTTTCAACAAGTGGTTTCAAGTTTGAGTCTAGAGTAGCGGCGGATCTACTCATGGACACATGACGGTAAGTGCAAACATAAAGTTTTGAAAAAAAAAAAAAAGTTTTTTTTTGGTGGATTAAAAAAAAATTATTACTAATCATTTCGAGGGTTTTCAGAGGTGAAAGGTGCTACAAACATTGGGGCTTTTCATGGCGATGACATAAACCCCTACACCGACAGATGTCTGACCCCCTTTTCATCCGCACTTAATTCCATTCTCTTGCTACCATCTCTCCAAATCGCAAGAGACGCATGCACCCCCTTTGCAAAGGTAACTTTATTTTCCCTTTCTATGCAACAACTTAACTTCTTCTTCCAATTAATTTCAATTGAGAAGGGAATACTTAAATTGTATATTTAAGGAATAAGGTCTTTGTCCATATTGCTTTTGAAAGTAGTAAGAACTAGTCTTGTATGACTAGGCTAGAACTTGTTAGTTTGGTTTGCTAGCAATATTATGCTTTACCACCCTTGTTCATTGTTATCATTATTGGTCTATGTCAAAGGTTATGTACGTGAATTTTTTCTTTTTTTTTGAATTAATCGAGAACAAGTGGTAAAAGATAAATTTTTGTAGCTCACTTCTCATTTTTGTGAGTCTACCTTATGATTTGATTATTTATTGATGCTTTCGATTATAATTCATGACACATAATCTTACAAGTTTCTAGGTGAAAGTGAATATCTCCATTTGCAAACCTCTTCTGTGCAATCATAATCATATTGTTATTTTTTGTCTATATTTTTATATAGGCTTAGCTGCTGTAGTTTGCAATACAGTTCTTACGATCACAATATTAATTTTGTAGCTGATGAAGTTTCTCATGACAATGATTCATTATTGGGGCATGAGTTGGTCAAAAGTTCTAAAAGTTAGGACCATACATATAAGTTCTTCAATTCTTGCAACAAAAAACCCCTTCCTTTATAAAAGTTATGATCACAGTATTAATTTTGCAGCTGATGAAGTTTCTCATGGCAATGATTCATTATGTGGTTGCACTGGAAGGGGAGGATTGAGCTGATGGTTGGATTTGTAACTCAACCCTGGATGTTGATTCTGATTCTTCTGATCATACCAAAGTTTGTTTAGTTCAATAGTTTCAGGTGCTCTCATGAAGTCGCAATCTTCAGTAGCATGAGTACCTGCACAAATACCACAAGTTATTTGAGTACTATTAACAGAAGAAACTTGAGAATTAGCAAATTGCTTTGTAAGAGCATCTAATTGTGCTTGTTGTTTCTTATTCAGTTGTAGTATTTGTTCATTCTGGGCCAATGCTGCATCATAGCCGTTAAGCTTTATGATCCTCGTTGTCCTTTGTGGGACTGGAGCATTATCGAACTCCTGAGAGGCTAAAGATTCTAGCAATTCTAGTGCTTCCTCTGGAGTTTTTGTTTTCAGTGATCCTCCTGCTGCAGCATTCACCAAGGTTCTTGTGCTCGGTGTCATTCCTTGGAAGAAGATTTGTCCTTTCTGCCAAGCTTCAAAGCCATGCTGTGGACACTTCCTGAGCAGTCCCTTGAACCTTTCCTATGCCTCGTACAAGGATTCACTTTCTTTTTGTTCAAAAGAAGTGATATCTGCTTTGAGCCTTGCCATCTTTGAAGCTGAGAAAAATCTGGCCAGGAATTTCCTTGCTAAGTCATCCCAACTGGTTATGCTTCCTTCAGGTTGAGACTGCAGCTGTAACACCACGTGTATACCCGGTAATGTTATCATACTATCGTATTAAGCTGCGCTTAATTAAACAATGCGGAAAATCTTTTTCTTTTCAATTATGACGTCATTATACTTAGCCAAGTTGATTACTTAATCAATTTCATAAAATATCGCCTGTATGTAAATCGCAATAAGACATCTACTGAAATACCTCAATATATAAATATAAAGTAAGTATCTAGGTCACGGATCTACAACTCGTAGTCCGGACAGTATCCTGATACATTAAAACAACTCTAAATAAAACAGGACATAATCAAGTCTACGTGGCATGGACAATCCCCATGCTCACCAAATCAATAGCATAGACAACCAAGTCTCAACATAATAACCCAAATCCATAAAGAAGCTAAAAGCATAAAAGCAGCATGCATAACCAGCATCCAACAAGTCAGCATATAATAACAGCAATATCTAACTCAGCTCCGGCCTCGTGCCGCCTGGGGCCTCAACCCCAACATTACCTGATCCTGAAATAAGCATTCCCCAAACGTGGGGTGAGATCTCTAAACCAGAAATCTCAGTAAGACAAGGGGTCCTCAAGGATCTTCCACCCCAAGCTCACTTACATGTGCAATATAAGTTCTAAAAGCATTTATATCAATATAAGTTCCAAAACTATGCAGTGCAACATATATTCATGCCATGTATGTTTATCACTATTCTACTGGCCAGAGAAATGCAGGAATACGTCTATTACCTACAGATTGTACAAGGAACATTGCTTGCACCTCAACCACAGCCTCACCATATTGTATGTACTACATACTCAGGCTTACCGTATAGGTGGAACTCCACATGCATATCATAAAGGCACTAGCATATAACAGCTCAATAGCATTTCCAAAACATCAAAAACATGTAACACAACATGCATATAACCATACCCCCATGGGACATGGTGGAACCACAACATGGCTAAACCGAGGACACGAAAGCTTACCTTGCAAGCTCACTATCCAATGCCAAGAGTCCACAATCTCAAGGTCCAAACACCGCAGTATCACAATTTGTTATGGACCAATAGTATATCATTAAACATGCACCACAAGCATACAACTTAAAGACAACGTCTTTTCGTTACGTTCTACGTCTTAAGGCTTCACACAAGCCATAAACCCTCAATCACATGATTCTGACTTAATTCAATTAAAACAGAAATTCAACTTCATCAATCTAGGGTCCACAAACCCCCAGTAGCCTACTATACACACAGCACAGCTACTGTTCTGCGAAATCCCAGAATATCCGGATATTCCTCGGGGACATATCCGGATATCCAATATCCGGATTTCTCTCTGGCAATATCCGGATATCAATATCTGGATATCCAGATCTCCATATCCGGATATCAATATCCAGATATTTCACGGGCAAATATCTGGATATTTTGCGACAGAATGCAATTCCTGCATTTTGTGAAGATATCCTTCAAATGTTCCATTTTTACCGATTACAGAAGCCTAAACATGCATTTCTATGTGTGTTTGACATTACCCCAAGTTAGGTTATCATCTTTTAACCATTATATGCATCAAGGTTCCATTTTTAGGTATAAAAACTCATGATCAAGTTGAGGTACATACTCAAGGCTTCAAAGCAGAAACAAGGGCTGCTCTTGGAGCTCACAACCAGCTCCAACAAACTGACTACACAAGACCAACGAAAATGCCACAAAGCTTGGCCCTTTCTTCACAAAGGAAGCTCCTTGAAGCTTCACAAACCAAGAAGATGACTCCACAACCCCCAACTCAACAAGACAGCACCTCAAGCTCACTAAGACAGCAACACAACCCAGAACATAAGCTCCTCTCCCACTCACAAGTGACCATCACACCCAACCATAGTGCTAAGGATGAGGAAAAGAGAAGACTTAAAGCCAAAGGAGCCAACTTGCTCAAGAAATGGAGAAGAAAACCCAAAGGAGCAGCCAAACTGATCAGCCTCTCAACAACTCACGCATAGAAGTCTGTTTTCTAGGGTTGTGTGCCCTTAATAAGAGTATTTATAGGTCACTTAAGCATTAAACACACAGTATTAATTTTAATTGCTACGCTTAGCATTTTAATCCCAAACTCAGGATTCTTAATCTACTCATTTTTTTAAGATTTATCATATTTTTATTATATTTTTCGGAGCACCTTTCCGGTACGCGCTTTTCATAGCCAATACCAGTTTCTGGCACCAGTTCTCATTATTTTAACTTGAAACTCGTTTTACAAGTCCTATAAATTATTCTAGGAATTATCATGCACTTATTATAATTTTTTGAGATACTTTTTCGGTACACATTTATACCGACTTGCAGAACCGGTATCTACACTTTTCTTCCGAAAAGCAACTTTCAGCATTCTTAATCACCTATCATAATTATTAAAGCCTCTTAATAATTATTAGGGTCAATTATGGAATCATTTCCTAATTTAACATAATTAATTAATTTACTTCCTTAATTAACGGCGCGGGTTCTTATATTCACCCTACTTTTTTAAGATTTTGTCCTCAAAATCAGAAAACATACATGTCTCGAAACTCGAGGTACTGCCGGAGAAGCTCTTCCTCACGCTCCCAAGTACAGTCCACAAGTGTTCTTCCAGTCCATTGCACTTTGACCATCGAAATGATCTTACTCCTCAGCTGCTTCTCGCCACGCTCGAGAATC